GGAAAAGAGAGGCTTCTCAGGGAAGGTATTTTAGCAAATAACGTGGATATAGTGAGAGAGAGAACCATGTGAAGATCTGAAAAACAAAACAGAAAAACAGTACCAAGGTCTTCAGGTAGAAAGGAATGTGACTGCAATGAGCTGGAGAGTCAGCCAAGCATGACTCCAAAATGTAGTTAAATACTAATCATGACAATGACAACAATAATGGTGAAAGAAGGTATCCTTATTTTATAACAGATTTTCATGAAATACTGGTTATTAATTGGCCTGAAAGAAATCCTAGTAGTCATAATTGTTGTAGGCTAACAAATACAAAAGCTAGGTATGAGTTCAGAATGGTTGCTGTTTGTCAAAACAAGGAAATGGTCTACTCTTATCAGTTTTAAGAGTTTTTTTTAAACGTAAGGAAAACGTATCACATTTCATGTCTTCACAGCATATATTAAAACAAGGGAAAAGGGTTTCCCACAAGTTTGTGCCTTTAAAATGATTATGCTTAAGAATCATCGAGTGCACAGACTCCTAGGACTAGAAAATGTTAGCAATTAAAATACAAATATATTTAAATAACAAATCTAAGCTGCTTAAATTATACAGTCCCCAAAGAGCTGTCTATTAACATCTCTGATTTTCTATAATGTCCCCCAAAAGAAAATAATTATGATAAAAAGAAAATCAAGTCCGTATCTGCCTATGATTTATTTAATCTCTGAAAACATTTAAATAACATATCTATAGTATTTATTAAAACTAACTGTATACTTCAAATAGCAAATTCAGCATTCTACAGAAAGATACATACATATACAGGCAACTCTTGATAGAAAAGGCCTTGGAAAGTAAGAAGTAGTCCTAAAGAACTACTTAATTAATACAGTCATATAAAGAACAGCTTCCCAAATACCTCTACAACCAGGCATATGGTAAAGAGTTACATTTTATACTTTATGGATAGGGTAAATCAGGATTTGGTTTATAAGTGGCTTAAAGACTGACTCAATCACTGGCCAGTTTTTCTTTATCGTAAATTATAATTTGAAATTATTTTCTCACTGTTCCAGAGAGAAAAAAATTACAAAATTATCACATTTATGTTTAAAAACTTTCTCTTCAATTGTTTTTATAATAAAATAATTGTTATTTGCAGATGATATACATAACTACGTAAAAAAAACTCAACAGAATCAAATCAAATGGAATAATTTATTATTGTTCATATTAGTAGCAAAATTTACTTAATATTTACTATCTGGTCTTCTAAAAGTTTTGCATACAGTGATTTATTCAATCCTTATAACCTCCCATGAGTCATGTACTATTATTCCTATTTTATAGATGAAAAAAACTGAAACACACTGAGTAACTTGCCCAAGGACAACTAGCTAGTAAATCATGTGAATGAGATATAAAATCAAATAGCAGGACCTGCAGAGCCCATGTTCCTGTTCCCATTCAACAAAAACTAGTTAAGAGTTTTGTTAGGTAGTTGGTTATAAAATAAACACACACACAAACTAGTCTATATATCAATAAAAACCAATCAGAAAAATGTAACAAATATGGCAACCATAAAACCCTACTTATTAAAAAAGCATAAAAAACAACAGAAATAAGAGACATAGACTTCTGAAAAAAGGTAATCATCAGTATAAATGTGCAATAGTTGAAAATATTTTTATAAAGGATGTGAAAGACCTTACCTAAGATGTGAAAACTGTCTATAAAGTTACAGCAATTCAACTATGTTGTAGTTCTGCCATAGAATCAGTATGAGAAATAGAACAAAAGAGTTTAGAAACAGGCCCAAGAATACATCAGACATTAAAATATATTAAGGGAGGACTTCAATTAGCCTTAAATGAATGCTCTAACTCAGGCGTGAGCAAATTACTGCCCATAGGCCAAATCTAGCACACTGCTTGTATTTGTAGAGTACATGAACTAAGAATGTTTTTTTACTTTTTAAATGGTTATATAAATACCCACATAATATACTTTACTTAGCCTCTTGGCCCATAAAGCCTAAAATATTATTATCTGGTCCTTTATGGAAAAGTTTTCTAATCTGTGATCTAAATTATAACTGGTGTTGGGACAACTAGATATTGGAGAACCTCACCGAGAGGGTGGGGGAAGAGTACAAGGGTGGAGATCCAGGCACCATAATATTCACACCTTAAACCAAAATACTTTTTTTTTTTTTTTTTGAGAGAGAGAGAGCGTGAGTGGGGGAGGCGGTGCAGAGGGAGAGAGAAAATCTTAAGCAAGCTCCACACCCAATACACAGCCCCACGCAGGGCTCAATTTCACGACCCTGAGATCATGACCTAAGCCAAAATCAAGAGTCAGATGTTTAACCAACTGAATGAGCCACCCAGGCACCCCAACCAAAATACATTTCTAAGGCAGCTAAGTTTTATGTGAAGAATGAAGCACAAAAATGCTAGAAAAAAGTAGATGGAAAAAGTCTAAGTATGATCTCAAAAACAGAAACCACAAAAATAAGACTGATGAGTCAAATTCAGTAAAAATGATAAATATTTTTATATTAAAGAACCACTCACTAAACTGTAAGCAAAAAAAAAACTGGGAAAATATCTGTAACAAAAGCACAAGAGACCATTAATTTATGGAAAACACTAACAAATAAACAAGACTTACCATCCCTATAGAGAAATAGAAAATGGCACAAAAATAGGTAATCCACAAAGGAAATACAAATGGCCAGTAACTACATGGAAAAGATATGTTACTGAGTGTGTGTAAATTTAACAATGTCTTAACATATTTTTTAAGGAGGGGGCAGAGGGAAAGGGAGAGTGAGAATTTCAAGCAGGTTCCACACCCAGCATGGAACCCCACGCAGGGTTCGATCTCATGACCCCGAGATCATGATCTGAGCCAAAACTGAGTCAGATGCTTAACCCACTGACCATCCAGGGACCCTTGTCTTAACATATTTTAAAACAGTAAGCTTCTTTTGTTAAGAAAAGACTTAAAGACTTAAAGGTAATAGCTAATGAGAGTAAAAACTTGTACAAACTTTCTAGCGGAAAATACGTGGACATGTCCCAGAGATTTACATAATAACATTTTTAAAATAAAAATATTTAAAGTATTAAATCAAAATTTTAGCAGTAAATTATTTCTGACCAGCAAAATTATGGGTAATTTTTCTTCTCCCTTCTCACGCATGTTTTCTAAAATCTGCAGTAATGCCCCTCTACTATTTTGTTATAAAAAAGGTATCAGCAATAACAGAAATTTATAAGTAGCTATTATATTATTATTCCCAGTTTAAAGAAGAAAAGGCTAAGGAGTGGAGAAGTTCTTGCTAACAGGCAGAGCCAAGATCCAAACACACAAGGGTAAGGCTTTAGAGCCTAAATTCTTAATCTCTGTGTCTTATTACCTTCTTATTTTAAAAAGTTTTATAAGGCAAATCATTCTGTGTTATTTTTGTGACAAACAACTAGACAGAAATGATAACCAACATATGTAAGTGTATTTAATCATTCTGACTAAAAACCTCTGATATATAGTATTTCTGCTCTCTAGAAGACAGACCTCTTATCTTTATCATCCTCTGTACACACTTTATTCCAGATTTCAGTTTGAAAACTTCATATCTTCCTAATCAGAATGAGTGCTTTTCATCAATAAGTAATATTCCACTACCATTTTTCCACCAAACTTGCACTATACAATCACAGTAATACACAGATGGATTAGTTTTTGCAAGCAACACTACCAGAAGATATCCCAAATTCTTTAACTACAAGATCAACACATAAACACAGAAACTTACATAAAAACAAATTCAATTATAATTTACATCCAAGAGCAAATAGCTAAATGGTCAGTAAAGTAACAGAAAATTAATTAGATGACATTATTCAATGAGCTATTAAACTGCACACTAATTATAAAGAAAGTCACCACATATTCTGAAGAGTCCTAATAACACAATGGATACATTGTTGCCAAAATGACACAATTTTCAAACAAAAATAAAGGGTAGTAAACACCTCAATAGGAGGGAAAAAAAATTCACCCAAATCCTAAATCTAAATTAAGCCAATTTGTGAAATTCTAAGACACAGGAAGTGAATTACTAATGATCAATTTTAAAGAAAAATGAGAGCATTTGTTACATATCTTAGAATTTTATAAATGCTTTAAACATCAGTAAGAATCTCATTAGGTTAATAACTAGAATAGATTGTTATATAGGTAGGGAAATTAGGAATAGCGAGTTTATTAAAAGGGTTGAAAGGAGAAAAACGGTGGGTGGGTACAAAGTACAAAAATGCAACTGGTTTGACTACTACAGTAGTGTGTAATTTAAAGAGGCTTACCAGAATTTGAAAGTAACAATTAATTTATTTAAAAATATCTTATCAATTTGCTAATTATGACTTGGCTGTGTTAAATCTTTTCATTCCAAATGGGATTACTGAACTACTAGCCTTCCAAAGCACTTAATCCACACCTTTACATCATCTTCCATGTTTCGAATACAGGTCTTCAAAAATGTTTCTATACTAGCATTCCTACAGCTGAACAGAGAAGATGCTCTTACTAACTAAAGCTTAGGATTACAGGCCTCAAGATTCCATAGCAAAGGTAAAGTTTCATTTAATTTTGCCATTATATCTTTAAATCTTTCAAGTCTGCTTTCTACTCTATATGCATATTTTAATATAAAAATAACAAGTTAAAAAAAACAACTGATGATTTAGATGTAAGACTATGTTTATCTCTTGTCTTTGAGTACTTCCACAGTATTACCATATCCCAACTTCAGAATCACAGGACATTTTATCTCCCATTAAAATGTAAGCTCATCATTTTTGTATCCCCAGGGCCTAGCATTGTGCCTAAAACATAGTCACTCGACCAAACATGGTATTCTGCAATTCATATACTGCTTTCCAGGAACCAAAAAGAAACAGACATACATTGCTGAGTAAACACAATATAACTGATTAACTTACATCTTTTTCTGACCGATGCGGAAACATAGAAGACTGGCTGTAGTACATGTTTTCGTCATGGTAGTCACTGTCGACTCCCTCTACAAACTTCTTTCTTGAAGCACCAAACATGCTGTTTGTCACCTAAACAAAAATATTGCTTTTATCAAGAGTAATATTTTGGAAAATGTCAAGCTTTACCAAACTCCTATGTGGAAAACAGAAAATTAAGAAAACAATGCTAAGATAAAGAAACAGATCAACTAAGGGCTAATGGGGCATGTGAAAAAGTCATAAATCTAACTGTAAGAATATAGCATTAAATTTTTGCTTCCAGGCTCTAAAAGCAAGAGGAGAAACTTAATAAAGCCTATCATGCAATAATTCTACTTAAAGAAATAAATATCACTTATTCTTGAGAATTTGCAACCTCAAATACAATTTTCCCATAGAAAGATTTTTTAAAAATTAACTTTGGGTTTAATTATTCAAAATCTTCATACGTATCTTCAATATTAGTATCTTTGTCATCACGGTCTACTTTGTAAATGATCTGTTTTTCAGAGCATATCATCTTCACTTACAATCTATGTTTATTGAGATACACCACTTTTTGAGTCAGTTATAATGGCAAACTAGAAACCTTATCTCAAGCCACAAGTATCCACTTATAACAATGATGTTTCATTTATCATCCTGGTGTAAATTTATGATTTCTGTTATGTAACCTGCTTATTACTCTTGTTTTTTAAGTCTTTCCCACATCCAACACTAGTAATTTTGAGCCCACACCAATACAAATAATTACTAACTCTATGTTCTTTTTTTTTTTTTTGAGGCAATGCTAGAAAATGGTCTTCACGCTTCTTTTATTTAGGTAATCTCTCCACCCAACGTGAGGCTTGAACTCATGACCCCAAGATCAAGAGTCGCATGCTCTACTAACTGAGCCAGGCAGGCGCCCCCATGCTAATTTTTTTCCCTAAGGATGACCTCTTTATAAAAGTTTCCAAAACTATCAACTGACTAGCTTATTTATGGTCAATGTGTCTCCCAACAATGGTACTTTGTAGTCGAAAGTAAAGTGAAATGTCATGATGGAAGACACTTGTAAAAGACTTGAATACATGGTGACTACATCTTATCACAAAAATTTTGGTGAAAAACATCAAATTTGACATCTGTCTTGTACACTCGTACACTCATTATGAATAAGGTTATTTTCTTCAATTATAAATAATAAATGAACTTTTATTTCTCATTCCAAAATAAGACAGTGTAGTTACTACTGTTTATCGGCAGACATGGTGAACTGATAAGCTGCAGTCTTTTTTTTTTAAGATTTTATTTATTTGACAGAGAGAGAGAGAGACAGCTAGAGAGGGAACACAAGCAGGGGGAGAGGCACAGGGAAAAGCAGGAAAGCCTGATGCAGGGCTCGATCCCAGGACCCTGGGATCATGACCTGAGCCGAAGGCAGACGCCCAACAACTGAGCCACCCAGGCTCCCCTAAGCTGCAGTCTTTAATGACCAAATTTGACACGCAAGTTTGCTGAAAGCATCAGACTATTTAATAATTGCTTTATATCTTAAGGTTCCTATTAAGTTTTTAAGAAACTCAAATATTTAACCATTCTTCCTTTTGAGGTCTGAGAAAGTTTTTTAGTTAAATATGAGCGACGGTCTGATGACAGCTTAGCCACTGTTTTGCTGTATGCTTTGGGGCTATTAATCTCCTTAGGTGTGAAATACAGAAAGTTATTTTTAAAGGTTTTATTATTTTGTTAGAATATACTGAATCTTTTTTAGTAGGAGACTCCCTGATAAATCTCATAAAAGCTCATCAGAATCAGGGAGTAGAATCGCACATGCCTATCCACCAACCCCCTAAGTAGACAGGAAAAAGAAGTGTTTTTTAGGGAGTTTTATTACAGAAAAGTAACAGTGGAAAAAACTTTAATCTGCAAATTAAGACTCTTTACAGATGACATTTTAAAAGTTTTTTTGAAAAAGTTAAGGATACATTTAATTCTCTTTCAAGGACCATTACTACTGAATTCTAAGTAAGGATAAGCATGGGGAAATGGCATGATACCTAGAGAATTCAGTAAAATTTCAGAATATCAGGGTTACCTCTCATCAAATCATACACACATAAAATCAACTCAATGGATACATAGCAAAATCTTCGTTTGACAATTTTTGTATAACATTTATCATCAAAACCAATTATAGATTCCTAAAATTCCAAAATTGAAATTAACTGTATAGAATAAAAAAGTTCATTTACTGTTTGAAAGCAAAACTAAACATATGAAATGTCTCAGACAAAGGAAACAGAAATGTTTCTCATTTATTAATACAACATTTTCCCACACTCACTGCTGTGTGTGAGAGAGTAAGCATGAGAGCGAGAGAAAGAGAGAGGGAGGGAGGGAGGGAGGGAGGGAGAGAAGGAGAAAACACAAATATACAGAATTTCATTTTTGTTTTGTGTGCTTCAACACAGAAATTACATTATCAGTGAAAATACTAAATATTCTTACATGACTTCAGTAAAAAAAGAAAGGTAAGAATGTTAACACTCTGCTCTCCAAATGCAACACCAGTCCAGGAATGGGTACTAAGATGAAACAAAGAATTATCTGATCCAGGGCAAAAAAAGGAAAGGAAAGGAAAGGGAAAAGGAAAGAAAAAGACAGAACATAGTAAGTTTCTTATAAAAGCTAGTTTATTTCATTTTTAAGGGCCTGTGCTTTATTCCACATAGAATGATGCAATGGGGTAAGAAAAGTATTTTAAATAGCCATGAACGATGAAACTAACAAGGTAACAATCAAGCAGAGAAGTAAGGGAACTAACTAGGCAAAGACCTGTAGGAAGAGCATTCAACAGACAGGGAACCTCAAGATCCTCAGTGCTGTGACTCAAGCAGCAGGAACTTACGGGAGAATGGGAGAAACTGAAGTCAGAGATACTGGTGGTCCCAAATCATGCTGTGCCTTGCAGGCCCTAAGGAACTTTGGATTTTATTCTATGTGAGATAGAAGTCAAAAGGGCTTGGGGATAGCTTCAGTAACATAATTTGGCACATATATATATTTAATGATTGCAGTTATTCTGTAAGGAATGGGCAAAAGAGGAAGCAAGAGTGAAGAAGGGAAGCAGGCAGTGAGAAAAGATGGTAGCTTAGACTACAGTGATAGTGGTAGAAGTGGTGAGACAGGGTTAGAAAAAAGATCTATTTTGAGAGCGACCTGACACTAACGGATGGATGAATGGATGATACCAAAGGGTAAGGTGTTCACGTTATCTCCTGGAAGAGAATAAGTAAGAATCAAAGGAATCTAGAAATCAATTTTTATCAATTTCAAAGAGGATATGTCAATACTATATTGAAATTACTGGTAATGCCAAATATAGTAAAGTCGATTTGGTAAATGAAAATTAAAAAAAAATAATTTAAAATAAAAATCATACTACGTTTTACATTATATATACCATAGAATCTTTGGTATATACAATTTGTCAGCTTTTTTCAAGCAAATATATCAAAGGCTTACACCTACTTTGTTAACTGACTACCTTCTCTCTTGACTTTCAAACCAGATGTTATAAAAAGTAAGTAAAAAGTGAGATGTTACCAAGAAAGAATATGATATGACGTTATGTAAACACCAAAAGCAGTTTCTTAAGCCTTTTTGGACACAGATCTAAAACATTTAATAAAGACATTTTATCCTTTGATTCCAGAAACTCTAATCAGAAAATATATACATGGGTTAGCTTACACTACTCCTTTCTATCAGCCTAAGCCCCCCAAACCCCACCCCCCAACCCCGCAAAAGAGCTGGTCTCAAAATGAAGTAGTAGAGAGGGGGATTAAAGTGACAGGCAGAATAGAAGCACTGAGTTGGCTGGATTTTCCCAGTATATGTCATAATTTAATTTGGACTAGCTATGAATTCCTAACTCTCTCTCAACATTTAAATACAGTATTTCAAACTCAAATGCAGTAAATCAGAATAATCACAAAAAAAGAGTTTGCAAAACCCCAAACTTAAGACGATCTAAACCAGTAACTTCAAAGACTAGTAAAGTGGACCCAGGTTGGATAGATGACAATTAAAGAACAGGAGTAAGAAGCAAGGCCTGGAGCTTTAGAAAAAGTCAGGGAAACAAAACTAGGACACTTTATAAATGAAAACTTGAAAATATATACGTGTATATACGGGTATATACATATACAAAAAAAAACACATAGGAAAGGGTGAAAAATAGAATCAGATCATATCCAAGGCAGGATAATATTTAATCTTACACATTATTTCCTTCACCAAGGCCTCTGGAGAGGAACTTACTCTGAAATCATTTATTGTCTACAATGCTGGCAAATGCTGGCCCAGGCATGGAATCCTATTCCCAGGGACAGAAACACATCCATGGCAGAGTGGTCCTTTTCCTGATAGCAAACAAATGCAGGTTGATTTCAAAATCTATCTCCAGGCTTAACTCAAGGTTCTAGCAGCAAATTTTAAAGTACTCCTAAACATTTCTACCTGAGAAGTACAATTAATAAACTAAATCAGTTAATATTTAAAACTGATTTTCCAAGTCACTTTCTCTTGCTTTGTTCTGAACATCCAAGTTCTATCCTTTCTTCAAAGTGGCTTTCACATCTGTTTTTGCCATTCTTCCTACCATCATTTTAGTTTAAGCTCTGAACTAGTTTGTTTTAGCCTCCTCACTGATCTGCTTTCACATTTCAATGAACATGCTGAGGGAATATTATATGAATTATGCCAAAAATTGTGGTAACGTGGGGCGCCTGGGTGGCTCAGTCAGTTAAGCGTCTGCCTTCGGCTCAGGTCGTGGTTGCTGGGTCCTGGGATAGAGCCCCATAATGGGGTGTGGGGGGGGGGCCTGCTCAGCGGGGAGCCTGCTTCTCCTTCTCCCTCTCCCCCCCATGCTCTCTCTCTCTCAATAAATAAAATCTTTTTTAAAAAAATTACGGTGTGAATACAAAAACTGAATAAATAACAGCTCCAAGTCTTGAACAAGCTCATAGTCTAGCTGGGAAACCTATCTGCAAATAAACAATTACAATACGAAAACCTGCACAGGTACTTTGGGAACACAAATG